TGCCATCCTAAAAATAGCTTTGATAGTAAAAAAAATGTACTTTCAATTTGCGCTGTCCAGTGGATAGATACTTGCTATTTTAATATGATTATTAACATTAAATATATTTTAAAATTCAGGGTTGGGGATGTAGGTCACTGGTACCACGCAAGGCTCTGAATTCAATCCTTAGTAGCAGTAAGTAAGTAAGTGAGTAAATAAATAGTCAAACAGTACAATTACCGTATTTGCCAGGATAGAAATACAGCTTTTTCATTTGTTCAAGAAGTACTGGGTTGGGGATATAGCTCAGTGGTAGAGTGCTTGTATAGCATGCATAAGGCCTTAAGTTCTGTCCCCAGCATCACACAAAACAAAAACAAAAAACAAAACACCACTAGGCAGACTCTCTAGGGTTTATTTTTATACAGCTTTATATTTTTGCTGCATATGTTGCGTACTATAAAAATCTTCTAGATAAATCAGTGTATCTTTTCAGGGACAGGGGTGAGGAACGCAGTGTATTTGTTATATAATGATCTGCTGAAAAAGTGCTTCTCAGATTTGCGTATCAGACAAGTGAGTCTTAGCTTTCTGTCATATTCAGGGTTAATTTTGCAACTGATTGATTTTTCATGTTTTTCTTAGTTTACCAGAAAATGTGTGATGGATCACGTTTGTGGTTCAGTTTAACCTCTCTGGCATACAGATTTTCTTTTCTACATTTTTATAGTTGGCTAAGTTTGTTGTTAGGTCTATATTTTAAGGAGGCAGGGTATATGTATAATAAATACCTTCAAGATTTTGATTGAAACTTCACTTATTCCTTTAGTCCCTCATTAGGAGTCTCTTACTCCTGAACATGAGTAGTGGGGAGTGAAGGAGGGAGCACAGTCCTTGGCTGATGGGGAGTTCAGTACTGACTGCCAAGCATAGTGTCTGAGAATGTCATAAAGCCACTTCCTAACATTTTCTATTTTTTTATTAATTTTCAAAATAGTAATTGAAGAACTAAACATTCCAGGCTTTTACATATTGCTAGGAAAATTCAACCTATAATATATTTGAATATTTTTTCAAACTGGCGAATGGGCTTTGAATAAGAGTGTAGAAGGTTGTTTTGTTTCTTTATAGAGAAGAATCCTTTCAAGGATTTTTACCTTTGTGAGAAAAACACATGGCACAGCAGTAGCGAACCTTTTAGAGACTGAGTACCCAGACTGCAACCCCAAACACACTTACTTCCTGCAGTGCCAACACTGCTATTACACTTGAATACTGAGATTTTAGCTTTGAAAAAACAACTGTTATCTTATACTTGGCTGCAGGGGCTGCATGTGCTGACAAGAGAGGGCTCTGTGTGCCCACTGTGGCATGCATGCCATAGGTTTGTCACCACTGCCATAGTCCATTTCTCTCTTTTCCATTTATTCTAGAACTTACAAGGTCAACATTACACACGTTTTACTTTTTAAAATTTTGTAGCTTTTTATGCTTCTGAAAACACCTCTGAAGTAACTTGAACATTTCAAGTTGAATGGTAAACAATGTTTGAAAAAAGTCTCACCTGAAAAAAAAAGTTGAATTAAGTATTTCAATATCAATATTGGGAAGATTCAGACAATGAATTTGATTTGATTCTTGGTAGCTTCTAAATTGAGGCGGAAAAAAGGTAATTTTTGTGTGCTGACAACCAGAAGCATGTAAACATCTGCAGCAACCAAACATTTCCTGGAACTAAACTTGAGCAGAAGTTAATCACGTGGATCTTTGTTTAAAGAACCTAGTGAAAAATATCTTTAACCACAGTTATGTAAAAGACCCAGGAGCACAGCCTGTGTGGATTGAGTTCTGTGGGAGGCAGAGTCAGGAGCGGTGTACCTGGGCACCGGGCGGGGGAGTGAAGGGGAGTTGGGAGGTTCCTGAACCCTGGGCCTGTGCTCTTTGGAACTATACTGAAGAAAGGACTTTAGAAAACCACCCTGTTAATAGGACCATTAAGTTTGTTTTCTATAGAATGTCAGACACTGTCAGCATAGTTTTTGTATTGGGGCTAATTTTATTCCTCTACAAGTCCTCTAATAAATGACTGTAGTGAAGATGCTTTTTGATGATTAATGTGACGCTTTAAGCTTTGAAAGAAGCAAACAATATTTCTCATGGATCTTTTAAGAGCTGAGCTAATATTTTTGCCCATAAGTCTAGTGGGCAGTAATACAATATTTTTTTCAAGGCTCATGTTCATTAATACAAGTTTTCATAACAAAAAGTGACTTGTCTTCACAACTAATATACATGAAAGAATAGCTTGTGTCTGAAATATTTGAAAAAAATACAGCCAACTGTCTTTTTTATGAAAATTTGGATGGAAAATCTTCAGTATGGTTATAATAGTAGAGCTTCTTTTTAGACATGTTTATATTACTTGGGCCCATAAAAAGCACGGTAGGCTTAAGGATTGATTTTTACATGTTTATTAAATACAGCAGTTTTATTATAGTTATTAATTATCACCTGCTTATAATGATAAAAACTGACCAATAATTTCTACCCTTTAGACCAAATCACCACTAGGTAGCAATTTAAGGTATGCTGTTGGGATTTAAGGGGATTATCTTGGATAATTTTGAAATCTGATAATATATACATTCCTACCTTGAAGGTCTTATTAAGATAAAATATGATAATGTGGATTAAATGCCTGGACTTTAAAAATATCATTCTTCATCATTTTTTAGGTTATTGATAACATATAATTCTTCCAGAATTTTTATGCTATGTCATACGCATACATTTTTAGGTATGTGAAGAGAATAAATATTTCCTATCTTGATTTTATCAGTGTTGATTTATATCAGCTCTTAAGAAACACACCAATAACGTACATTGAAAATGCATAGCTTCTATTTGTTTAAACTATCATTGAAAGTTCAGGAAATAATGCAAATAATTTTGAATTCTTTGGGTGAAATGAGACTAAATTTAATAGTGTTTGAGAGTAGAATAAGTGTTGGAATCTATTTTGCTCCAGCCTTACTGTGGTTTAGTAAATTTTGTCTTGGCTGTTTTTTGTCCAAATGGCTTTGAATAAATTCCATGAATGTCTCTTTGGGGATGATAGTTGTCTTAGTTACTTTTACCTTGCTGGGACAAAATACATGACACCCACTCACAAACTGAAGGAGAAAAGGTTTGGGTAAGCTTGGCTTGGGGGTAGCCCTGAGGAGAAACATGGCAGGCAGGAAGCAGCAAGCCTTCTCTTTACCTTTCTATTCCATCCAGTCTTTCCCACTGAGTAGTAAATCCCTGATCTACACCTAGAACTGTGCTAAACCAATCAGTGGGCTGCTAATGCAGCCCCAGCCACGCATGACCCATATCACACCCTATCATCCAGTCTCTCCCAAAAGCCCCACCCATGAGCATGTGGGACTTCAGAGGGACATCTGGATTTAAACCAGAATGGTAATCGTACCTGTCTTGTAGTTCAACGTGTCTGTCGCTGTACTGGTTTTTGTGTATTTCCAGGTGAAGTCACTGGTAACTTTTAACAGGAGCAGCTTCTGGAGAGCAGTGAGACAAAAGCCAGGTCAGAATGAAAACAAGTGAAAACAGGAGGCAAGTACTGGAGAGAATAAGGCATTCTATTTTATTTTTTATTTTTTTAAGCATTCCTGTAAAACTGGGTTAGAGAAATGTGGAGTGTGAGGGGTTAAGGGCTTCTCCCTCCCTCCGTCCCTTGTAGGGGAAAGTATAGACTACATGGTGATGGGAATCTCCGTATAGTAACACTATAATTTGGTTGGATTTAGGGTTCTGACACATTTGGATCACAGATAACATTGAAATAATAGATTGTTGTTTGCAACCTCATCTCCTTTCTTATTCATTGGACAAACATTGAAGTTCATGGGGTGCTAAGTCCGAGCTTGGTGCTGCTGGGTGAAGTTAGGTTATAGGATAAATCAACCAGGCACGATCTCCGTGTTCTCACAAAGTTTTTACTGTCAAAGTTTTAACTGTCAGATGGGATAGGCTTTCTAAAACACAGAAATCGTACAGGTTTGGGTGTGAGCTTCATAGGACAGTTACAGAACTCTCTGTAGCAAGGGAGAGCATCCTGGTGTAACTTAGCATAGGGGCACATGGAGGCATCTAAGGTAGGAAAGATGACTGAGGGGAGTAGGCCAGTTGGGGGAGCTGGTCTTGCAGAGGCCCTGGGGCAAGAGAGGAAGAACCTGGTACTTTGGGGGTTTCGAGAGAAGGTCCATGTGGCCTACACAGTAGGAACTAACTGGGCCATGCAGCGTTTTGGAGATCATGTTGCAGAGTGAAGGTTACATCCGAACAGCATTGGAAACTTCTGAAAAGTTTTAAGGCAGGACTTGTAATAAGAGACTAGACTACATGTGCTGAAGTGCGTCCTAGCCAATGGCTTGGAAGTGCAAGGTGGCGAGGTGGGGTGGGATATGCTGCTAATTAGGGGAAAAGTATCTGTTTTGGCTGAAATACAATTTTGGTAGGACTAAAATGGTGAATACCCTGTAACAGAAAGTGCTTTGAGCTTACAGGTTTCTCACCGCTTGTAAAGAATGTTTTCTTTTTAAACATGTATCAGTAGAGAAGAGTCAACTGAAGAGAGAGATTTCATGTTAAAGGAATGAAACTTAAAAAAGATTGTGGCACCTTTCTGAGAAGTGAGAAATACTGAGACCGTATCTTTTTTTTAACCAGTGACACTCTGAAAGACAGAATCTCCAGGAAGACCTGGAATCCTCCTGCCTCAGCTTCCTGAGTAGCTGGGGTTACAAACCCAGTGCACCCTTTCCCCAAGAGATTTCTTAACAGAAAAACTGTTGTAACACCAAGAATTGGCTTGTCAGGTCCCCAACACAGCAGAGCCACCAATTAACTTGCTCTGAGCCCCCGCCTGGAAGAAAAAAAGGAAACAAAGTTTTATCAAGACAATGACTTGCCAGAGGTTTATTTTGGTTATAACTCCAGTTTTCTTTCTCACACAGGAGTTTACTGCATATTCTCAAAGAGTTGGGGTGTTTTTGCCTTCTGTTTTGATGCCTCACTGAATGAACTCGGAGCTACCTGTTATAGGGAAAAGATTAATAGCAGCCTGGAAGCTGAGTGAGTAGATTCATTGTTTTACTCCTTTCAAAAAGTAATGTTAGAGCTTTATAAAGTTTTACAATATTGTGTACTTTAATTGGGTTCTTTAAGTTTTATGATTGAATAATAGTGATACTATCATAATTCTAATATACTTGTAAATAATGAGCTTCTGGGAGAAGAACTCATTCCCCTGGTGATAAAAAAGTAATGAAAACATTTTCCATACATAATACTTCAATTTTTTAAGAAGCATAGTGAAGATTTAGATTTCCTACTTAAAAGCAGTCTGCTTAGTGCTTGATTTCACCTTTATACTATGAAGTGTAAAAATATTGGTAAGGAAATTGTTACTAAGTTTTTAAGTGCAAATGTATAGAAATTGTGTTTTAATGCAGGATGTTTTAATCTAAAATAAATGCCGCTTTTGTGGAAATCGAATTTTAATCTGTTTGAAAAGAATGATTTTTAAAATACTGATATAGATGAGATTACAGAATATTTCTGAATTGAGTTTTGTTCTTGATGGAAGAGCCTAGACACTGATTTTTTCCTGTTTAAAACACCTGAATAAGCACTAAGTAAGCCATCTTGATGTAAATTGTTTCTCAGAATAGAAAGGATTATTCTGGGGCTGGGGATTTAGCTCAGCGGCATAAGCACCTGCCTTGCAAGCAGGCGGTTGTGAGTTCGGTCCCCGGTACCGATAAAAACGAAAAAGACAAAAAAAAAAAAAAAAAAAAAAAAAAAAAAAAAGAAAGAAAGGATTATTCCTTTTGCAATGTCCTTTGAAATGATGTTGAAAAAGCTAGTAATCTATGAGGCTGTACCAGATCCTTAAGGGTCTTAGGTTAAAAACCATTAATAGTTAATTTAGAAGAGAGTCTTCCCTGCAATGAGGTTATTTAGTTTTGGTCCAAATCTGTGCTGTTCTGTGAACCTGCCAGCTCCTGACGATGTGCAGCAGCTGCTGTATTTGCAGTGTGTGTAGTATTAATTGAGATATGCTTTGTGTAAAATATGCACCATATTTTCAATAAAATATTGAAAATATTTTGATTGTGAATGAATTACATTATGAAATTCATTTTGGGAGATAAAACATGAAAATTAATTTCATCTCTTTTACCTTTTTTCCCTTGTTATTGGTAGAAAGTTTAAAATTACTGATGACTTGAATTTTATTTCTTCTGGACAGAACTGGTCTGTACCTTCATATACCATCCGCATTCTTACCTATCCATTACTTAGCATTGGTAGTACTGCAGCTTTATGGTCTGGTCTTCATAAGAATCAGTGAATGAAAATCCATATTGTTTTCCAAATATAATTTTTTTGACTTGTCAAGTGTTTATTAAATACCTAGCATGTGCCAGTGTCCAAAGCACATAGTAGTTAACAGACTGACCAAAACTTAATATATTCATGTAACCGACATTTTAGCAGGGAGAAATGTTCTAAGAGCAAATAAATAAGTCAACATAGGACAAATAAATAGATGTGATATACTATAAAGTAGTAAGTGCTCTGAAAAAATCTGAGACTGGCAAGGGTTGGAGATACAGTGATAAATAGGTTATTCAGAGAATGCCCCATTCAAGGCTCCATTGGAAAGATAGTGTTGAAGAAAGACTTGCAGAAGGGGTGGGAAAGAGCTCTGTGGATAATCGGGGGAAGCACATTGTAGGCAAAGGGAACAACAGGTGCAAAGGGCCAGAGGCAGCACATGACTAGCTGCCTTCAATGGTGTAAGGAGGCTGGTGACTAGAGTGGAATGACTGCAAGGGGAGAGGAGAGAAGAGAGGAAATGGATAGACGTACCATGTGGACAGTGGTTATTATAAGGGTTTCACCTAGGCTTTAGCTGAAAAGGAACTAGCAGATTTTAAGGAGAGAAGTGACATGATGAATTCTTTTGACACTGCTATGATTTATTTGCCTTTGGAGAAGGGGCACTGGAAGGATGGAAGCAGAGAGACCAGGTCCAGGCTAGTGCAGTCTACTCCAAGATCAAAGATGATGATGCCTGGGCCATAAACAATTGAAGCAATGAGAAGTGACAGGATTTTCATGAGGTGGTGTGATGAATTGCATATAAGATGAGAGAAAGAGCGGTATCAAGGATGATTCCAAAGTTTGAATCTGTGCAACTGAAGAACGGAGTTGTGCGTGTTCCTGGAACTGCAGGAGGTATTTGAGGCCAGACCAGTTGGAGACAGCACTAAAAGCTCAGTTTGTGGGGCACATTTGGTCTGAGATGCTCCTTTAGGCATCTGAGCAGAATGGTCAAATAGGCAGAGTCTGGAGTTCAGTGAGAGGCCAGAGTTAAAGAGGCAGAATTGATTAACTTTTAACTATTATGGAAAATCATAGAGAGGGTCAAGAACATCAAGGGGGTGAGAGTAGCCAGAGAATAGGCACTCCTAGACCTCAAGTTAGGGATGAGACAGTATCAGCAAAGGAGAGGGTAGGGATGGACAGGGGCTAGGCATTGTGATATTCTAGATGTCAGAGGAAGAAAGCAATCACCTTGTCAGTGCTGCTGATCAGCCGGCTCAGGGGTGAGCTGAGAGCTGGTGCCTGGGTTTAGCAGAGGAAGGTTCTAATGACACTGATGGCAGTCAGTGAAGTGGTGAGCGCAAAAGCCAGAGTGGAGTAGATTGGAGGGGAAACTGATGAGGGGAGGTAGGAATGATGATGAGAATAGAAGCTGCTATTTACAATGTTAAAAAGTCAGTTTTTCAGTTACGAAATGTACCTTCATTTCTTGTTCTGTGTTAATGTTTGCACTTTGATAATGAAAAATTTTAAGGAAAACTTAAAACTATTTTTTTTCACCTGGAACTATTGAAAACTCTGATTTTGGGGGCTAATTTTGTTTTCTTAGCTTTTAAAGAAAATTATTAAAAAATTGGAAGAAATTGAGGCTGAGAGCTGCTCAAGATCACATAGAATGGAACATTGCCAGAATATTCCAGATTTTCGGTGTGATTTGGAGCATTTAATCTCTGTATTTTAGTCCCAGCCAGATAGCAATGAGGATAAAACTTGCTTTGTGTATCACATGAAGTCTTTATAAAGGTCAAATGAGGTAGTAGGTGAAAGAGCTTAGTCAGCTATAAAACATTCATTCTATAAATAGAAAGTAAAGGCATTATAGGTAAATTAGGTTTCAGGATTTTATCATAGTATTTGACATAATTGGAAAATAGTGGAATGAAATAAAATCTGAGTTGAGAATAATTGTAATACCTAATACTCATTTACTTACAAGAAAATTTTCCAAAACTTGCTTTTTGCCTGTGTCAAGCTTTGTTCATGACACCATAGTATTGATTATGTGTGAGTCATCATGGTGGTCTGTGGTCAGGAGCCTTGGCTGAGGTCATCTCAAGATATTGATCAGTTTATTCCCCAGGAGCCTCAGAATTAGTGAACATCTGGCTATTTTGGGACTTCGTTAACTCAACAGCACTGTGTGAAAGAGTCACTCTTAATGCAAGACATTCAGTTGTGATGAAAAAGTTTCTACCAGCTTTGGAGAACATTTCTATATTTGATACTTGAAGTGAAATTATAGCAATACTTTATATAAAGAGAAATTGAGAAATTAAAAAAATGAGTAACTTCCATTAATGATGATTTGAATAGGATAGGTAGTTCTTTTTCTCAGAAATGTAACCAACAAAACAAGATTGTCAAGATGATAATTTCTGAGTACTGGTAACCCAAAGAACAGTTCATAAATTAGGAAACATTACTGATATGCTGAAGCTTGAGTACAAAAAGTGGAAGTCTCTGGCCTTTTTATCTGGGGCTTCTTTTCTCCCCTGTCCCTCTGTATCAGTTTGTAAGAAATTCAGCTAGACCAATAGTGAATAGCTGGAGTTGGGTTGTAAAAAAGAACTCACAGATTTTCTAGTGAAAAGTGATCAGTTCAGAGTGGCAAACATGTAGGTTTTCTACCATGAATTTTCAATTTGCTGGTTTGGAGCCTCTAGCCAGAAATTTAATAGGTTGGTTTTGGAAATGAGGGAACTACAGCAGAGCTGAGATAAGCTCTCCATGAATGTATGGCAGACTTAAGAAAAACCTAGCAAAACGTGAAAGTTGAGCTGAGTTCGATGTCCATCTGCCCAAACACAGCTCTATCAGCAGAGCATGAGGAAGCCATGCCTGGTATGGGGTGTTTGGGTACAATTACTGCCCAGATTACTGGCTGACCACTAAACTTTACAAACAGAGACACCAACAGTGATAAAGCATAAGTGCATGAACATCACAATAGGATTACAATGCAGAATGATGGAGAACAGAACAGTAGTGCCTGAGGATAGTTTGGGAGTTGGGAACAGAACAGTAGTGCCTGAGGAAGGGCCACATTGGGACTAATGCATATTTGTATATTACCTTCATTTTGCTTGGTAGTTTCATGGATATATAATACATCAAAACCCACTGTACAATATAATATATACATTATATATTTTATTGCATATCAATTGTACCCACCAGTAGAAACACAAAAAGTTGTGTTCATCCCCAAACCAAACATTCATAGCAGTTAACATTTGCAATAGACAAAGACTGGAATTAATCCAAATCAGCCATGAAAAGGAAGGAAATTTTGCTTCGTGCTACTGAGTGTCAAACAACATGGATGAACTTAAGAAGTGCTATATGAGGTCAAAGAAGCCAAATACAAAGAACGATGTATTGTATGATACCGCTTATCTGAAACTTCGGAACAGGCAAAACTGTAGATAAATAAGTGGTTACCCTGGGCCAGAGGTGGCAGAGGGATTAACTGTATAAACAGGTATACAGGACCTGTGGGAGCATTGGAGGCAGTCCTGGTGAAGGTTATATAGCTATTAAATTATAAACATCAAATCATACTCTTAAAGTGAATGACTTTTATGGTGTGTATATCATATTTCATTAAAACTTATCAGGTAGCACTCAAAAATTTAAATTCTTTTTCAGAAGACCAAGGGACTATATTATATTGTTAAGTT